AACAAAAAGAGGGACCGCAGAGCACCATCTAGCAAACAGAGTCAGGCCTAGAAGTGATGTTTCAACAAGAGGAGATGGGCAAGAATTCAGGAGTGGAGCATGTTCAAGGGGTAACAGAAGAATTAGTTAGGAATTTCAATTATCAGGGAAAGGAATGGAAATTGAAGAGGTCAGACATCAACCACTATTAGCAGATATGCAGATGAGTGAAAAGGGGCCTCTGAAGAAATTAGGAAACAAAGGCAGCACCTGGGAAAGAAATGGAACCAATAAAGGCAGGTTGAGTAGGACAAGAGAGATGTTAGAACCTTTGGACCAACTCTCAGGGAAAAAATGAATTAGGGTTGGGATGGATAGTTGTACAGAAGAGGAAAATGCCATGAGGAAGGAAAAATCAAAAGGGAAAAAGTGTAAAACAAAAGAGGGAAAGGTGGTGGTGGCCAGCCTAGATTGGCACCCGAGTGAAAAATAAAGGTTGCGATGTGGAACTATAGAGGACTGATGGGCCCTCTACAGTTTTCCAAATCAAAGAGTCTTTTAAAACTCACCACCCTTTGTTCTTTTTTCTTTCTAAAACAAAAAACACTTTGTTCAAACTATAGTTAAGAAGTTGGGTTATGCTGGTAGGAGTGTCATTCTGGATCCTTAAGGGTTAAGTGGGGGTCTTTTCCTACTTTGGGAAAGCGAGGTAGAAATAGTTCAGGTGATCAAGATAGATTTCTGCATAAAGGTGGATTATAAAAGAAATCAGGATGCAAGCAGTTGGGAAATTTTTGTTTATCTAGGTACTGGCAGAGCTTAAAGAGTAAATCAATGGGAGATGTTGGAGGATGATAAACATCTCTGGGAGGGGGTGGGGAGAGTTGGTTTATAGTGGGGGATTGGAATGACATGTGTTGCATGGAAAATACAAAAGGAGGAATAGTAAGAGGGTGAGGGGAGTTTTAGGAGTTTTAATAGCTTCATAGACAGGATGGGGATGTAGCGGAAAAATTAGATAGAACATTTGGATCATTGAACTGGTTGAGACTCTTTCCAAGTGCTTTTGTGATTAATGAAGTGCGAAGTGCATCGGATCATTCTTTAATCCTAGTAAACTTTGGTGTGGAGGAGGAAAAAAATAAAAGAAGGTTTTGTTTGAAAGAAGGTGGCTGATAAAAGAAGGAATTGAGGAAGTAGTTAAAAAAGCTTATGAGTCAATTCAATTGGGAACTTCTATGTTTATTGTGAAGGAGAAAATAAAGGAAACAAGGAAAACTCTTTTGATTTGGAGCTCCAAGTTTAAATGACGAAACCCGGCAAACATTGAAAGACTCACAAAGAGGCTGGAGGATTTAAGGAGTGAGGAAGGGGAATCAAAATGGATGGAGATGGAAAGCATCATAAAGGAATTAGAGGTTGCTCATAAATTTGTGGAGAGATTCTGGTAACAGAAATCCAGAATACAATGGTTGAAGGAAGAGAATAGAAACACTCTGTTTCTTATGCTCTCACATTCCAAAAGAGGAGAACAAATGCTATATCCAGACTGGTCATAGAGGATTTTTCAGGTGTGTACTTCCCATAAGGAAATAGAGGAGCATGTGTCTAAGTTCTATAGCACCGTATTTACATCAGAAGGAACAAGAGGAGATGAAAGCTTGTTGCACCTGATTCCTCATATAATAACACCAGAGGTGAACAAAGATCTAGAGCTTCAGCTGGAAGAAGAAGAAATTAAGGATGTTTTGTTCAATATGCACCTAGACAAATCTCCAGGAGAAGATGGTATGACAACTATTTTTCTTTAACACTTCTAGAATTTGATTAAATATGATATTGTAGTGGTTGTGAAAAGTTTTTTCCAATCAAGGAATTTACTTCAATATTGGCATCACACCTGAAAATCTAGGGCAGTTCAGTCCAATTAGCTTATGCAGTGTATTTTATAAAAATGTCCAAAATCACTGCTGAAAGATTGAAGAGATGTCTGAATGATAGCATCCATAAATGTCAAATAACTTTCATTAAAGGTAGACAATTGATGGACAATATGGTGATTGCTCAAGAAGTTTTTCATTATTTGAATAAACATAGGTCTGGGAAGAATTATTTCCTGGCTTTAAAATTTAACATGATGAAGAAGTACGATATAGTCGAATGGTCTTGTGTGCAAAAGTTACTTCGAAAAATGGGTTTAATTATATTTTTTAATTATTTTGTCCCACATTTTCTTGTTTAATGCCATTCAACTAAATGAAAGATAAAATGTGAGGCCCACTTATTTTGGCATCAAATGAATGACATGCGTCGGTTTAAATGACACTCTTTAATTTGACATTTAAATGACACATTAAAATGCCAATGCAGATGCTCTTATACATTTCCTTTCTTTCATTATGAAACAATTCTCACAATGATCATCATAATCTTATATGATTTTATTATTATACAACATAAATATATAAACATACATCTAGAAAGGCAAGTTTATTTTATTTTATAACGGTTCAAGGGTCCCATAGGCCACCCTAATGTTCCCTTGGAACATGGAGAAGATTGTGGCACATAATTTTCCCCAACTATAAATAATTTCTCCCCATCCTTTCTCCTCATCTCCCTTACTCTCTTTCTATTTGCCTCTCTTCACTCTCATAATCACCACATTTAAA